TGTATGGTCTTTTCGATGCATTGCTGTCTTCAGTTTGCTAAGATTTTGTTGAAGATTTTAGTGTCTGTGTGCATCAAGGATATTGGCCTATAATTTTCTTTCTTTGTGGTATCTTTCTCTGGTTTTGGCATTAGAATGATGCTGGCCTCGTAAACTAAGTGTGGGAGCTTTCTGTACTCTTGAATTTTATGAAATAGTTTGAGGAGAGGTGTTAGTTCTTGGGAGGCTTGGTAAAATTCACATGTGAAGCCTTCCATCCCAGGGCTTTTGTTTGTTGGGAATTTTTTGATTACTGCTTCAATTTCACTAGGCCTAATCTGCCTATTCAGATTCTCTTGATTCTTCCTGATTTAGTTTTGTAAGATTGTGTGTTTCTAGGAATTTTTGCATTTCTTTCAGTTGTCCAGTTTGTTGCCATATAAGTTGTTCATTATATTTTCTTACAATCCTTTGTATTTCTTTAGTGTCAGTTGTTATTTCTCCTCTTTCATTTCTCATTTTATTTATTTGGGTCCTCTCTCGTTTTTTCTTGAGTCTGGTTAAAGGTTTGTCAGTCTTTTTTATCTTTTTAAAGAACCAGCCCTTAGATTCATTGATATTTTGTATCATTTGTTAGGCTCTATTTCATTTATTTCTGCTCTGATCTTTATTATTTCCTTCCTTCTACTAACTTTGGGATTTGTTTGTTGTTCTATTTCAAGCTCCTTTAGGTGTAAAGTTAGTCATTCACTTGAGCCTTTTCTTGTTTCTTAGATAGGCTTGCCATGCTATGAATGTCTCTCTTATTGCTTTCCCAGTGTCCCACAGATTTTGGATGGTTGTGTCCCCATTTTCATTTGTTTTAAGGTATCTTTTGTCTTCTCCCTTGAGCTCGTTAGCTGATAAGTTTTAATGTCATTAATTTTTAATGGTCACATCTAGAAATTTAATTATGAGCTACAGTATGAAGTATTGTGATAGGCTTTTTTATCCCCAGGTTTTCAAGTAGGAAGGAAATAAAAATGGTAATTATTTAAATAAATTTAAAGTGACCTTTTATGTGACCCTCTACAAAAAATGTTTACAAGTGTTCATAGTTAGCATTGAATATAACCAACAATAACATTTAATGCAAATATTCAGTCTTTTAGTTGCAGAATTGTTCATAGAGATAGCAAAATGTTAGGCAAAGCTACGGTATTATTACCAAAAAGGCATTGTTAAATCATCTGCACATACTTGGGAATTTCACTATAATTTAGGAGAACTCAAAAAATAAGTTACGGTGAATTTAATCCACATAATAAATATAAAATGTTTTTATTCCTTTATATACAAATATATCCTTCATACAATTCTTGTGCCTAAGTCAACTTACAAATACGGTAATGCTTCAAGATGAATAGTCTTCAGAACGATAGTCTAAAGAAGGACCTTGAGAATACAGTATGAATTGTGCTACAGCAAGGTCTTCTTCCACTCACATTCACAAAACTGTAAGACAGTTTGCTTGTTGGGAAATATCCAGATATTCAAGGTTATTGCTGTTCCACACACATTGATTTGGATGTCTGTCTTGATGATTTTCACTATACCCCTTCAAAGTCTGATAATTCACTCATTTCAAATAAAATCCACCCCATTATTTATACATAGTAGGAATTTGGTAACTGTTTGAATACTATCAGTTAAAGTGGACCTCAGGTTCTGATGGTAATGGGCTGTTGGCGCTATCAGAATTCCCCTTCCTGTTACAGGGAATGAGGTTAGCAGGGAGATAGTTGTGGAAGCAAAGTGCTTGGAGGAGAATAGGTCTTGTTCAGTAGTCTTTGCAGTCTGTGCACTTGGAACTGAAAAAGTTCTCTGCAAGTACCTAAATTAATGAAGTACTGTTCTTTTTGTGTGTATATGTATTTTGCTTGGGGTAGAAATAAACTGCTTGGAGTAGAAGTTGTGTGAATAGATTTGCTTCTTGAGTATTTTTTGTAAAGGATAAGTCAGATCAACAAAATATTTTTATTAAAGTCTGCTTGCTGTCAGAGAATGTAATTTACTCTAAAGGGAATTGTGGGGAACTAGATGTCCTGTGACATCCCCTGGTCTGAAATTCTGGGATACTGTGATGCACACACAGAGCTTTACATCGGTAATTCTTTTTCTTTTCTCTATGATCTTTTTTGGATAGATTTAATTCCATAGGGTTCAAATTCATGACCATGTTAGGAAGGCCCCATGATTTTATGGGTAGAATTGTAATTTTGTTAAGAATCACTAAGTGCATATTTTCTCTTTCAACTTAGTAACAATTGAAAAAATTCTGTCTGATCACAGGTAAGAGAAAAAGCATTATGGAATTACTAAAAAGAAAAGGTTTTTAAAATTGTCAGGAAGTTATGTCTGAATGCATTGACCTATTTTAAATTATTTGATCAATTGAGAGAGACAAAGACTTGAGAGTGTAGCTGTGTGGTGACGATACTTCAGCATATCTGAGGTATGGTCTAGAAGCTTCTGTGTAGCCACTCAAATTTATTTTAAAAAGGAGTCATGGACATGGGCAACAGTGTGGTGATTGCAGGGGTGGGGTGGGGAGTAGAAGGGCGAAAAATGGTATTGGAAAAAATATGATTTTAAAAAACAGGTTTATAAGGGGAGCATGACTCCTTAAGTGTGGGCTGTGCATAATGACTTCCTTGCAAAGAGTACAGTAGGGAAAGGGGAAGAAAAGAAGGTACCTGCAGAGTTTATGGGGAAGAAAAGAAACCTTAACAGTGAATATATAGCCAGGTAATCAAGGTCAACATCAACAGTGATGAATCATATTGATAGTGTGGACGCTTGACATGAAGTGGTTAAAATGTTACTTTACCTCTGTCATCTTCCTTCCAAAAACCAACAACCCCTGTCTAAACATGAGGAAAACAGATGAAATCCAATTTTAATTAATTAGGAAAAAATGTTTATATAGTGTAATTAGGTGTCAATGTGAACACAAATCTGTTATCCTATCTCAGTTAGATAAAGACAGAATGGCTAACCCTTTCTCAGTGTTGCCGTGTTTGAAGTAAATTGTCAGTTGTTGACATTGACTACTCCTATAAAGGTGAATAATGTTAGGGGAAAAATGATTTAACAACAAGCTTAAAACTCTTTACAAATGCTGATATTAGGAAACAGATGAATATCAAAGCATGCTAAATTGATGCAGTGAGTGTAAAAATTACTCCTAGATCTCTGAAAAAGCTAGTAACAGCCTAGAAAAGAAAACTGCCTAATATTTCAGAATAGAATGATAATGAAGTAGAGAGGCTACATGATTTATTAGTATGGCTTTTATACCAAGTAGCAGTCAGGTTAGTTCACAATTAAACAAACAAACAAACACACACACACAAAAACCTTACAGGGTGGAAAGGATTATGCGAGGTCTGTCCAGAAGGTATCCAGCCATGTAATATGAAAAATAGAGACACATTTTGAAGAAGATACAAGCTACAAGAAAGATTATACATAGGACAGTGAGGCCTCACTCCCCTTCAAAGTAGGCACCTTGGGACCTCATACAGTTCTCCCAGTTGCTATCAGCTGCCCTGTGGTACTTTCCTGAATCTCATTGACAGTCTGAAATCTCTTCCCTTAAATGGTGAATTTAGTTTTGGGAAAAGCCAGAGTCCCAGGGCAGGAAAACTGGGCTGTAGTGAGACTGAGTCACCTCAGTGATTTGATGTTTTTCTGAAACACTCTGCACAAGACATGGTGCAATGAGTGGGTACGTTGTCATGATGAGCCTGCCAATAACTAGTTACCTATAGCTGTGGCCTCCTGAATCATCTGAATAGAAATAGTTTCCACGGAGGAAGGTTCAAGCCTAACGCAAAATTTGATGCAGATTCATTGCTCCACTTGCTCAGTCATTTTGAATGTGATGGCCACACCATAAGTACACTAACTCAACGGCATCTACTGCTGACTAGTATAGTGAAGTCGTCATTGTTCATACATATGCGTTCCAGTCCACACTCCTTGGCTGCCAGGTTATCTCGATGTGGCACAAACTGTCTTGTTATATTAACAGTGGTTGGACTTTTTTCCAGACATACTGTATAATACATAGAAATAGAAGTACTATATTTTTACCATGTATAATGCACACGTTAGTCCAGTTTTTTGAGGGGAAAATAAGAATGTGGTTTATACATAGGTATGATGATTACATACCATAGGTGTAATAATGGCTGTAGTAATCTCATGTATAATGGGCACAAAAATGTGGGTGCATAGTGTACACGGGAATATGTTATACATGGCAAAATATGGTACTTGTTGGCTTTTTGATGCTATCTACCAGGAAAAATGGAAAACCTGTAGTAACATAGAAATATATCAGTTTTTAGTAGAAGTACAGACTTTCCTAAACTTAGTTAATTGATTTAAAATAAAAAAACATTTAACTTGAGAATTCTTTTTCCATAAGAAGGTCTGGGAAGAAAGTACTTGGGCTCAAACCAGTTTACTTAAATAAACATTTTTTTTAACCTCACCTGATTTAATTGGTGTGTGAGAAAAGAGACTATACACCTTATGCATACATATTTTAAATGGAGCGAAATGGTTTTTCACTTGTAGAATGTGCTATAAATCAAAGAGGGAAGAAAATAGTATAATCCAGATAACCAAAAACAATGTGTATTACTGCATTGTGTGTTTTTGGTTTCCTCATAGAATGTAGATGGGTTTCCAGAATAGTGTCTGCATCCGAATTGTTTTTAAACTATGCTTTTGCTGTTCTTTTTTCTTAGGCCCTTTCTGCAATATGTAGGAGAAACTTACCCATCTATTTTTTACATAACACTGCCCTCCAGGGACAATGTGAGTTCTTCCCGTCTATTAATCATATTTAACTAAGTTTATTTCAACAGATGCTCAATGTCAGACACCTTCTCAAAACCAAATATCTTCCTTAGGAAAGGTATTCACTCTACATGTCAAAAAAGCGCATCTTTGTCTTTTTTTTATTCTAGTGCACTGACAGGCAGAATTCACCAGTCACCTCACCAGGGTCATCTCCGCTTGCACAGAGAAGAAAGCCACAACCGGACCCTCTCCAGATCCCACATCTAAGCCTGCCTCCCGTGCCTCCTCGCCTGGATCTAATTCAGAAAGGCATAGTTCGGTCTCCATGTGGCAGCCCAACAGGTTCACCGAAGGTAAATTGATTTACTACAAACAGATAATGATTTTATATGACAGCTATTGATTGCTCAGGTTCTTTTAAATTGCATTTGTCATATTTCTTGTGCTCTTGTTTCTGAACAACTCTGATGGGTTTCTCATTTTGTTTATGGTGAGCCCACTATTATATTCCTTGCTTTCTTATTGTAAAATTACATAATTTCAAAGATCGCACATGTCTGTAATGGCCCCCTGATTTGCTAAAATAAAGTACAGTTATTCTGTAAAATGTATTTAAAATGATATGTATTAAACTACTCTCATTAAAAGATATTTTACAGTCATTTTCATAGTGTCATGACAAGAAAAATGTGATGGAAGTATATTTGCATAAGGGCTTAAGGTATAATGAATTATCACCCATGTTTCAAGGTGACTCAGAAGAGGGAATTGCATGTACTTTTTATACCTAAAGCAATGATTATAAAGAATTATAATATTTGCAGAGTAATTACATTACTGTTTAATATTAAAGACATAATTCTAACTCAGTAAATCTAAGCTCACAGTTTTAGTTCTGTGTGGATTTTTTTTCCAAATTTGGTAAAGGCATATTTTGCTTTATTAAATGCAAGATTTAAAAATTAATTCCATTTGGCAATATGCTTTACAGTCTAAAATTAGTTGGAAGAACAATATTTTATTGGTATTTGTTTCTCCACATTACAGCTTAGTTTTAAGATCATATTAACACTTCTTAGGATGTTATTTCGGGAGAATTGTGTAAACACGTAACACACTCCTTTTCACTCTATCAAAAGCACAAATCAGGTGAACCATGTAATTATATAAAAGTAAAAGCTATGCAAGTTATGTAGATTCAATTCAAGAACATATATGCCTTCATATTCCCATTAAAAAATCACTGATTTGTTGTTGTCTTCTCTTTTTTTCATTATAAGGGTCCATAAAATTCAAGTGAGGTCCATAAATAATGCTTCTCTATTTTCTGTAATTTTTCAGTATTCTAGTGCTAATCGATAAAGAACCAGAGCACATTTGCCCCTTTTCACTTGTTTTATATTGCAGCAGTAAACAGAGAAATGGCAAAACCAACAGTGTTTTGGAGATTACAAATCAGGTTGCTCTTTAAAAAAAATAAAAGAACAACAGCTTTGTTTCTTCTGTCTCTCCCAATTCATAGAAATGTGCAAATAAATTACAACTCAATATTATTTTAATGTCAACCATTCAAAATCATCATGTAATTTTGTTATTCTGCTACTTCTTGTATAGTCTTTATAATTTTAATATTTCAGTTTATATATTTATTTCTACAAAAATTTCTAATGAAATATATTTATATGAGTCTTCCATTAACTTTTAAAAATTTCATTAACTGGTAATAAACAGAAACTTAAAGATGACATAGGAATCTAATAAAGCTCCATTATGGCTTAGAAAACAAAAGCAATAATATAGTAGTCTGGAAGTTATTTCAGTGCCTGGTACAATATTGATTTTTTTTTTCCTCTGGTGTCTCCCTAGTCTTCTCCTTGCATGGTGAGAAAACAGGATAAACCACTCCCAGCACCACCTCCTCCCTTAAGAGATCCTCCTCCCCCTCCACCTGAGAGACCCCCTCCAATCCCACCTGACAATAGACTGAGTCGTCACTTGCATCCTGTGGAGAGTGTGCCTTCCAGAGACCAGCCAATGCCTCTTGAAGCCTGGTGCCCTCGGGATATATTTGGGACTAATCAATCAGTAGGGTGTCGACTCCTAGGGGAAGGCTCTCCAAAGCCTGGAATCACAGCGAGTTCGAATGTAAATGGAAGACACAGTAGAATGGGCTCCGATCCAGTGCTAATGAGGAAACACAGGCGTGATGATTTGCCTTTAGAAGGAGCCAAGGTAAGAAATACACAAATCTGCTCCAACTCTTCTGATAGGAGGTAGTATAAAAGGTTGGGCAGTGTGTTTTTTTGTTTAGTGTGCTACTTCCCTGCAGATCTTTCATTAATTCCAAGTTTAAATAATCAGAAGCTCATTAAATATTGAACTTAGAAAAACTCAAGAACAAGGTTCTAAGTAATGATTTCATTTTAATGTGAAGACACTGGACAGTTTGCCGGAGATTTATTTCACCCTCCCTTATTTCATCTGCTAAATTTTTTTCCTGTTACTAACTTGGTGGGGGAATTAGCACTGTTTTTTTTTAAACTCTTCTAGTGCTACCTGATTTGAAAAAAAAAAGTTGTATAATTATAGCATATCATAAATCAGCATTGGACTTGCTGTTGCCTGGGACAGTCCATCTATGCAACCAGGTAAAATGAAACTTCTCACAAATGTAATAACACCAAGGCTAGTTCCATGTTACAAAACAAGCTGTTTCTCCATAAAACTGGGAGGGACTCACATATGTTGAGTTCTTGAGGATGTCATCACTATTGTTTATATGTCCAGGGAAAAATTATGTGTATAGAAAACCAGTGGGGCAACAGCAGAAATCACTGAGTTTAGAACTCTTAGTAGGCCCTTGACAGAGTTGCTTACATTCTCGTTTTTGCTTCCATGATATTTTTGGCTCTGAGATCAGGTAATTGCTGTCTTCCCTCACCTGAAGGAGGATTGTCTCTTTTGAAGTCTTTAATATTAAAGTGAACCCACCTTTATTTATCTTAAATTGTTAATTTAATGGACATAACTTATTCCCTCAAAGTAATGGCTTGGAGTCAATATTTACCCTATAATCAAAAAACAAAGAAATGTGAAATGTGACATGCACTCAACTCCTGTGCGTGTTTGTGTGCACATGTGTGAAGGTAAAGTGATAACGAAAACTTTGTATAACAATATATGACTTCTGTGATATTGTAGGGTAGCCAAGACATAAGAGTCAACACTGACTTGCATTCAACACAAAGGGCATGAGTGGTGGTGGTTTGTCATGACTCAGTCTCTCATCTTTTATAAATATGAAGAGCTCCAAACTTCCTCTGTCATCTAAATATGATATCATTGGAAGAGAAAGAATTTCTAAAAGCATCTTTACAGTGCTGTCTGAAAATGGAGAAATTATTATCCTCAAAAAAATACTTCCACAACTTAGAAGTCTTATTGGAGGAACCTGCCATTCTTTTTCTTTAAAAAAATTTGATTTTAGTCTCTATTACTTTTTATTCCTACATGATCACAGTTACCTTGAGAAGAGTGTTGGAATGATCTCTGACATGAATTAACTATTTATATATCAGCAGCATGTAACAATTTATTTCCTGAATGAACTTCGGAAATACTTAAAATACAATAATTATCTTAGCCAATTCACTGAAGACATCTTGTCCCAAGCTTCTTTTAAACACTGTGTTATACAGTTTTAGTGCTAACATAAACCTGTTCTTTTAAGACCTAGAATGCTGGCTGTTAATATTTGTATTGAAGATTACATTTGTGTGTCGAGTATAACAACTGTTATTTAGACTTGTTTTCATTAGAGGTAATGCTTCGAATTAAGTATTATATTCCCATTTTAAGATAAGAAAACTTGGATAAGTTCTGAAAGTTAAAATTAAATGCACATATGGAATACCATAAGGGGAATTAATAAAACTAAACACTCTATAAATGGAGTGACAACTTACTCCCTGTCACCATGTGTCTGCTCTCAGTGTGCCAGTTTCCATCATTCATTAGAACCATTTGCCCTTTTTATTTGCATCTTCACTAGATAAATGGTAAGGGAAGCAAGAATAAATTACATTTTAATTACTCCATTTGCTAGTTGTAGAGAGCTCTGAGGGAAAAGGCCCTCTTATTCATAGTTAAAATGAAGTATAAGAATTTTCTGTGACTTTCATTTACTCCCTATTCTCTTCTCCTTGCCACTTACCATAATCAAATAGCTAGCATAATACTTATTAACATGAATCTGCAAGCTAAGAGTTAACATTATTTATCTTGTTTTATTTTATTGGTATGAGATTTCTGTCCTCTAGCACTGTTTCCATTCTCTGAAATTCACAGATACTGCTCAGATCATTACTCTGTCCCTTAATAAATATTTTGTTCGCTAGTTATTTATTGTTGTTGGTTGGTTTGTTGGTGTTAATTATCTGAGGTAAAAATATTTGCACTGCAATGTTTTAAAATACCTTTGGAAACTTGAATTTTATCTACTTATTTCTAGATACTAATATTGGGTCTAACTATCTTTGTACATTCCTCTTGAAAGACTATAGAACTACTGCTATTTCTTAGGTGATAAAAACTATCTCTGACTTGTCATGTTACTTCATGTGACATTATTCTAAAATGACCATGTGTATAACAATCTGTGGAAGATGTTGCTAGATAAATACATCAAACGATTTCACTTTTTGAAATGGTGGTTTTTGCTCTTTTGGTGGTGAGGCTCGTGCTTAAATGAATGACCTTAAAACATACCTATAATCTGAAAGGCAGTCTTTCAGAAAATAAATCCTCTATGTATGTTTGTTTCATTTACAATTGTTGTTGTTGAAGGATAAATTATAGAAACATTTTGGAGGCAGTGTGTGTGTGGGGAATTACATGGGTGGGATAAGGAAAATGGGGTATTTAGGGATTTTGTACAAATAAAAAGGTGTTTCTTAATTGTGCCAAGATTCACAAGGGTATTTGTTTTCCCTCTATCTCAAGGGTTCCAAATTCTTTAACCTTAATTGTTAGATAATACCTGAATCATAAGAAATCACTTCAAACTACAAGATTAGAATTCAGTGCTATCTTGAAGCATTTAGAAAAATATTAATCTAGCATATGAGTAACCTAGAATTTACCATAAATTATGTAATAACTGAGATTATACTTCCATATGTCTAAATGTCCCCTAATGTGTTTTTATTTCTTCAGCCTATTTCAGCTATATTTCAGTTATATGAGCACTTAGGATATTCAAGACACTGTGGGGAATACAACATGAATAAAGCACAGTATAGTGAGGGGGAGACAGGTAACCATTAACTAAGAGATGAGACACAGGAATAGCATCCAGAAAATAAAACCTGGGTTTCCCAAGAAGGAAAAACATTCTAGTTGAGATGCAGGGTAAAAGAAAGAATAAAAAAGGCTTCATGCAAAAATGTGACTGGCTATAGACATTAGAAGACTGGCAGGTGTTGCTTTTGTAGACATGACAAGAAGGAATACAGTGGAAGTGAGAAAACATGCATAGACTAGGAAGTCAATTTTGAACCGAATGTAGGGCATAAGGACAAGGTAAACATGATAGGCAAAACTCTGGCAATGTAGATTAAAACCAGTTATGGAGTGTCATATTCTACACGAGCTATCTCTAATTTGGTAGACAGCAAAGCCCATTTAAAGGGGTTTTTTTGTTTTTGTTTTTGAGGTTTTTTTTTTTGACAGAGGAGTAGTAGAATCAGAATATTTAAGTTGATAGCATGTTCAATGGCCTTGTGGTAGATTTGGGACAGTGAGCTAGGAAGGCAGAAGAGAAAGGTCTTTCCTTAAGAGTTAAAGAAGGCCTGAAACAGGGAGATCTCAATCTGAACTGCTGTGGTTGACACTGATATTGGCCAAAAGGTCCTTATGCTTTTTTTTTCGTAAAATAAAATACACATTATTTTCATTGTCACCAATAACTATTGATTTGGATATTTTGAGTATGTTGGCTATCTCCCACATGGTATAAGGTTGACTGTTCTCAATTAATGTCTATTTGATAGCTACCAATTTCAGCTGGTCTCCTGGAGCATCATCCAATGAGAAGTCTCCAGCATGAAACTGGGCAGAACAAAACTGCTTTTCACATGTTTGATCAGCCACAGCATCTTTTCCGTGCATGACACAATTTTTTTTTTTTTGCATTTCAGTTGCATTTTTATCTTTCTTGAAATAATAAAGCATGATGTGCCAAAAATGGTACATATTTTCTTCCATTTTCAATAATAAAATGGCTACATAAAAATTCACCAGTTTTGATAAATTGCTTTTTTTTTATGCAGGCTGATGTGACAGCTGTCACAATACAATCTAACAAAATTATTTTGAATGAAGTTAAAGACAACTAAGTGTTACTAGAGCCATTGTTTGGGGAAAAAAACAAACTTTTTGGCCAACCCAATACTATCAATCTACACATTTGAAGAACTAGAGTTTTCTCCTATTTGCAGACAGGCCTTTCAGATTTCTAGGTCAAATAAAACACTTATTTTTAATTCAAAAACCTGTGACTTATTGCACTCCCTCAGGTAGTGGCAGCTAAAGTGGTTTTAAGTTTAATGAAGTGGATACAGGTGGGATCATGGAATTCAATATGAAACAATGTTAAATCTTTTCATTCCACCACTAGCAGGTAATATAAATAAGCACTTTCGGTGAACAGAAGTATGAACATCATCTTAGTACCTGTATATTTAGGTCCTTCGCTGTTTGCACATATATGTAACCTCTATCAAGTAGGAAAAAAATTATTAAGAATTACTTGTTTGGTATTAGGCATATTGTGTACAAGATCAGCCATTAAACACATAGTGTGTATTTACTGAGAGGATGTCAGTAAACTAATGAGTTTCTTCCAGCCATACCAAAGGAAAGTCATTTCATTGGTTAATACCTCCATTAATAAGGTCATCAAAGCCCATCAGCAGTCAATTTTCATTCTAGCCATTCTGTATGTACAACACTGACAGAATGGAATGGAAATCGGAGAGGCTTTGTACTGAGGCTCAATGTGGCATGAATGCTCTTCCACAGAACATAGCTACGCAGAACATAAGCAAAATATCAGCGCATGCCAAGAACCAAATGAATGGCTCAGAAAAGACACATTGGCATTTCAGAGGCAGGAGAAATCCTTCAGTTACTGTGTGTTAATAACAATGTGTCTAATGCAGCCAAAGTGCTGGTTATATTTGAAAGCATATTAATAGAGTGTTTCACGAAATTAGGGCAAGTCACTTAACTTACTTAGGTTATTGCTCTCCTAGAATAACTACATCATTAACTGTGCTTCATGGTTTTACTGCTGACAGACACCATTGCCTGTGTGACTTGTTGAAATTTAATGAACATACCCACAATGTTGTGTACACTTTATTATTAATATAGTTATTCTTTCATTTACCTAATGTGCAAGTAAAAGCACTTTTAGTATCAGTAATTTTTTTAATATATTGATATTTCCTTTTGTACATGTTCACAATGTTCTGATTATAAAATTATGGTTGGTTTATTGTTAGAGCTAACGTAACAAATTATTGTTTCCATATCTCCCTTTTATAGCTGCTGAAGTTTTATTAATCAGTACATTAGATACTTTCTTTTAATAAAACAAATTACTGCATATAAAATTCATACTACACTTTCCAGAATGAAATTTTATATGTATTTGTGACAGAAACAACAAGGAGATTTGATTGCAAAAGTCTTACATTGTACCCATTCCAGCAGCATGCACAGGACTCCCTTCAAGAATGACTTTAAATGTTCATTAACACAATGGAGCATTTGTGGTCTCATACATGTGTTTTGTGTTAAGGGCATTTTTATATGTTAAAGGTTTTTATTGACCTTTGCAATGATTAATATGTACTCGGAATTTTTTTTCTCTGTCGCAAAGTTCAGAAACAGCCTTGTTCTGTTATTTGGTTTATAGTCAGAAGCCTGTGATAAAGTTATTTCATTTAAAGATATATTTTCTCATAGTGTAACTATAATATCTTGCATCTAATGAGGGGAGATACGAAAAAGAGAAAAGTAGAACTGTAGTACAGAGCCTAGTTTTTAGAGTGAAACTTTAATGTTATAAAATTTAGATTATGTAGCTTTGAAGTGCACACATTGATATTTTTCAAATGTATTCCTTAAACATGTTCCTTTTCACATTTTAAGTTGCTAGAGAAAGATAGGTATGGCCTTTTCAATTTTGCATTCTAAAGCTACATCACTTTAGAATGGGGCGGGGGATGGAATTGGTGGGTCATTGATTTCGTTACCTAGGACTATTCAAGTTATATTACACTATCTACCTATACCTTTTTATCCCTATTATCTACTTATACCTTTTAAGTATTAATAAGAGTTTGGGAAAGAGCCCAATGATAAAACACTAAAGGTGGCTTAACGGTCTTAAAATGTGTGTAATATTGTGTTGTGAATAGCCTTTACAAAGTTATTCTCTCTCTTTTTCTTTAAGTTGCTTTAATGTCATGTTGTTGGGTTAGTAAAGAGCAGTTGTTCAGACAGTCCCTGTAATGTAACTGAGCAGCCTAGAAGTCAAAATTTCCAAATTCTGAGTAATTAAACAGTTACTCTCTATGGTACACATGAACAAGGTAACAATTTTGGTTTGTGCTGTTTACACACAGAAAACTGTATATACAATTGCCTGTACTTTGATAGCCAGAACAAATATCTAGTTACCAGCAGTGCTAAAGTTTGAAAGAACATAGGTATTTGTGATTACATGCATGTACTGTGTTACTGAGAAGTATAAAAATGTTGTTAACCCCTGAGAGATACAATTTAGAACACTTCTTAAGGAACTGAAATAAGAATTGTACCAGTGCTGCTTTTTTATTTAGTGAATCCTTCCAGAAAATTCTAACATTTCAATAAAAACAGATCATGTTTGGGAAATTTTACTCTTTATTTACCTAGCTATCCATATCTGATTTATAGAAATTATAGTCTTGCCCCCCACTATGTTTAAGAATCATGATGTACTGCATTTCTTTCATGCAACTTGGTACTATTTTGGGTGCTGGTGAATTATCACTGTGGTGCTATTAACTGTTACCTATATTATGTGATATTTCACTTGTTTAAGTAAACTGAAATGATATGTTCTTTTCAAAATTATAGATTATCTAATGCTGCTGTTGTTTTTAAGGTCCTCCAGAAGTTAAGTTCTCAACTAACTCTTTGATTTCCTTTCAGGTCTTTTCCAATGGTCACTTGGGAAGTGAAGAGTATGACGTTCCTCCTCGACTTTCTCCTCCTCCCCCAGCCAGCACCCTTCTCCCGAGCATCAAGTGAGTTTCACTGAAATCGGAGAGCATTTGTCCACGCATAAGATGTCATAAATAGTGGTTTTGATGTTCTCAGCACAGAAGTATAGGGGGAATACAAATGCATCAATGAAAATAATCCAGGTGCATTTAGAAACTGGAGTGCCCGAAATCAAGATCCTTCCTTGTTTTTTGCTGGTAACCAGAGCATCCATGAGACCTTGCCTAACTCTAAGATTACACCTAGGGTAGCAGGGAGAGAAAGTGTTGTCTTCCCTGCATCCAAGGAATGGACAGAGTAGCACACAGCACAGCAAGTTCTCCCCTTCCAGTTTAGCTCTTTCTTCAGAGATACCACTTTTTTTCCCCAGCTACCCACTGTGACATCATAAAGTAATCTTTTGTTCCTCCAAATTTCTCATTTCTCAAATCCATTGATTCATTAAGTCCTGTTGATTGTTCTTTTGAATGTTTTCATATTCAGCCATTCTTCCCCATTGCCTTAGCTTCACCTCATAGCTGGAAAACTAACAAGCCTTACGCCTGATCATATGATACAATCTCAGAACTAATATTTTTAGATTTTAAAACTAGAAAAAAGTTAACCCAGGTGACTCATTTGAAAAATGGAACACGAGAGCACAATAAGCAGTGTATACATATACATAGTCTCCAGATCAAACTAAGATGAAACCAAGTCCTCTGATTCCCATTTTCCTACTCTTTATATTAGATCAGGTTGCCTGCTATTCCTTCAATATATTTTGTTCTCACAGCTGACTTAATTGAAATTCTGCTTTCCTGAGATCACTTCCTGTTCAAAACCCGGCATTGTTCTGTCTTTCCTTCTAAGTTATTCTATGCTCTTCTGCTAGCAGTAAGATACCCAGAATTTTACCCAACTAAAATATCGTTCAGTGATTCCTAGTGTGTGCCTCTAATCTTGTGTTGATTTTTTCTTTTCTGGCTTTGTGAGTGTTTCATTCTGTTCCATCCTGTGCACCACTTTTTCAGAATCTTTATTCTAAAAGCCCATGTCCCAGGCTGTATTTCTTTATGAAAACTTTTGTGACTTATTCAGGCATGATGCTAGGGGGAAAACTGGTTCTCATTCCCCTTGCTACAGTTTATTTTCTACACATTTAATTGTATACTCGGCTTTACTGTTTTTAATTTTAAAGTGCCTTTTCACATTAAAAAGATTATAAGGTTCTGAGGGCAAAAACCTATCCTTGTATTCTCTGATTCTCCCATAATACCTTACTGTTTTGCTGTACAGTTAGTACTGAGACTACTTGGTTGCTTGGCTGATTGACTTTATTATCTACTAAGATTCTCATTTCTGAATGAAAGTTTTAGAGCACCTTCACTCCTTCCTCTGATGGTCATTGAACTCCACTGTACAGGTGAATGGGAAAGGAGGAGAAGCTAGGTAGTAACTCCCACCAGAATTTACAATCTACTTTATAATGAAATTAACATACATGAAATCACTAGAGAACAATATGCACTAACTTGTATGACTTTTTAGTTTTTATGTAAGCTTGGAGGGTAGGCTGTTTATAGACTTTGTAAGTCAAGGATGTTTATTTATAGAGAGGCTGGAAATTTCCTGAATTATAGAGGGTAGGTACAAATGGAAAAGGGGGAGTGCATGAGAAAAAGCAAGAGTGTGAAATTTGGCATCATTCAGGAGACAGTGGAAAACTAAGCTTATTGGACCATTCTCCAGTGGCAACTTTTCTTGGAACTTCCAGGTAGGTAGTAGACATAAAGGTTGGAAGCACATACATACATTCTGTGTAGTCAGCTCTAAATCAGTAACAGCATGTGATATTCTAGTCTCAGATGAACTCTGGATAGATGTATATGTATTAAAACATCTAAGCTCAGTTACCTTTGAGAATTCAGAGAAAATCAGAAAATGAAGTAAGTGAAACTTGTTTTAAAGCTTAAATTTTCACATTCTTTTTATTAAATTAATATTGGCAAGTGGGATAAGAGGCAGAGGTTGCAGTTTGCCTCATTCATATTTAATAATAAGTACCCATTTCTTTATAGAGTAAAAGTAACAAATTCATAGTAAAATGTATTTATTGACTTTTTTAAGTACTTCAGTTTGTATGTAAATGTGGATATGCTTTCTCCCTATTTATTCTTGATTTTTCCCTCAGAAACTACACAGTTGCTTTATTTAACCAGAGAAATATTTTAGCAATGCATGCTTAACAGCAAATTAGTTTTGTGTTTTGCATGCTGCACATTAACCATAGTTAATAATACAAGTGTTGGCTTTTAATATAGCACATTTATCTCTCTGATTTATTTCTTAGTTTTACTCTTAGGTAGCAGTTGTTCATTGTAGAAAATATGGAAAGTATTAATATATAAAAGAAAGAAAAAAATTAAATACTTATATGCAGGTATATACATTCCCCAAATGCTCAGTTTTAACATTTTGACATGTTTTTTCCTTTTAAGACTTTCTAAAACATGACTTAGAGTATATTGTAGCGATAATTTCATGCCTTCCTTTGTCACTTAATACTTAAATAAGCATCTTCCTTAACACTTTATGCACTTTATTTATTATAAAACGGGCACAGAATTTTGAAGTGTACGTTAAAATAAAATCAGACCCGGTCCCAGACCTGACACCAGCATTGAGTACTTGCCTGTCTCTGAACAAGGTAACCTCTCTGGGCCTCGCCATCTCCACTTGCCAAATGAAGGGATCCATTTATTCGAATGATCTCCAAAATTTTTTTGAGCTTCTGTTTTTTAGATTTTATGCAATTTTTTTATTTTTTTCAGAGACAGAAGGGAAGGGAGGGAGAAAGAAAGGGAGAGAAACACCAATTGGTTGCCACTCGTACATGCCCCAACCCAGGCATGTACCCTGACCAGGAATCGAACCTGCAGTCTTTCGCTTTGCGGGAGAGTGCCCAGCCAGCGGAGCCACACCAGTAGGGGCTATGCAGTATTTTTAAAGGGGTACTTAACTGTCTTGTTAATTATATATGAAATATTTGGCAACTTGAATATTCATTTATAGTTGGTCAGTTGTGTACTATTGCCGAAGCCAATATGAGTTGTATACTGCCGTGGTTTTTTAAATTATTTAAAATTTTATCAATCATGGCCTCATTAGAGCTTATAACCAGAGTGCAATGAGTAAAGATCCTCAGCTCTGGGGGTTGCATAGACCAAAGGTCTTGACAAAATGTAACTCACTGAACTAGGGAGTTGGATGTTCATAGACGTATTTCCATATTGGACTTTTAGTGCATGTTTCAAACTCAGGCCAAAGAAAAACTACAGATTACTACCTAACATAGGCTTTTGCAATGCTCACAGTTGTTGAAAGCCCCAGTATCAATAATGTCAAAAATAGCATTTACCTTTAAATCTGTACTGTGTTCTTATAAATATTTACTGAGGTGTCGTCGTTAAATTATTTGGTGTTACTCTGATTCCCATTTGCTTGATATTAAGAGGCTACTCGGTGATTGTGGTTACTTTCTTGTCAAACTGTATGTTTGCAGTTATGTAACTCTTACTGTGTAGTACATTTTGAGACCTAGAAGAAGCTGTACTATATCTTTTGAAAATATTGTCATAAAAGCTGAAATTTTACTAGTGTTACAGATTTACTTATTTTTCTTAAATTTTTTCTAACTTGTTTCTATTTAATTAACATTGACATTTAGCTATAAATATGTATTTTTAAATACAATCTTGAAATACAGGTAATTTTTTGGTGGGTGAGAATAAAAATTATTTGTGAATTATTTTTACTTTGTGGTGTAGATTTTTTTCTAAATTATATTCAATCTTGAAATAATTTGATTTTTCAAAATTAAATAGAACCTGAAACAGTTAAAAATATTTAGTGTACTTGACACAAGATAAGAAGTTGGCAAATGAGTAAAGGAGTTATTGCAAGTAATAATGTAATAATTACTTCCAGGTAAGATAATGTTCTGGAATGCTGAGGAATTTTTTTTAAAGAATATTATTTCTTGTGCTTTGTCTTTTAGAAATGGATCTTTTGTACTTTTTGACATATTAAGCTTTCAGATACACATGAACCAATATTACATGGTTCATATTTTTATAAAAAGGCTTTTTGTTGTTGGAGGTGGCAGTGTTGACTATCATCGTATATTTTTCTAGACATATAAGGTTGCTAGTATTTTAGGTTCAATGAATAGAGAATCAAATTTTACTTCTCCGGTTTTCATATAGTTGTATGTACTCACTGGAGATTTAGTGTGAACAAGATAAAAGTCCTGTCCTCATTGGAATTGGCGCTCTAGTTAGGGAGAACAGAAGGGAAACCAGTAACTATGGTATGTTAGGTAGTGGTAAATGCTAGGAGAGAAAATAAAGCAGGAAGGGGATAAATAGTGGTAGTGAGGTTTGTACTTTAGGTGAGCTCAACAGGAAAGGTAGTATTTTAACAGAAACCTGAAAAGAAGTCAGGGAAAGAGCAATGAGGTTATCTGGGTGACGAGCGTGAACAGAACTCAAGTTCAAAACAGTGAGACAAATGAGTCCCTTTGCCACATTTGAAGAAGAGCAAGAAGGGCAATGTGGCTGGAGTTGACTTAGGTATGCAAGAGCTAAATGGTATACCGCCTTTTAAGACCATGCTAAGAATTTCAGCTTGGTTAGTTTTAGGAGCCATTGGTAGATTTTGATCAGCATTTTGACATGATGCTAGTGCGTGTTTTTAAAAAGTTTCACCGGCTGCTATGTGGAGAATTGTCTTTTGGAAAGCAGCAGTGGACGCTGGGAAGCCAATAGAAGCTTGTAGTTGTCTGATGTGGTAGACCAGTAGGAGATGGGATGACCAGTGCTTGGACTGAACTGATGCTGATGGAGTTACATGGTCAGCTTTGGGTTGCCTTTTGACACAAGAATACCTGTTAACAAATCGGGTGTCTGTCTGTGAGGTGTGATAGTGATGACACATACATAGTTTCTTGGCTTAAAAAACTGGGTGAACAGTTGGTGCCATT